AATCTTGCAAAATTGCAGGTATTGGATCTGTGAGATTCAAGCTCCATGATAAGTCAATAAGATTATTGACTGAAGTCAGGTACGTACCTGACTTGAAGAGAAATTTGATTTCTCTTGGTGAATTCGACAGAAAAGGATACATTTTTCAAGGAGAGAAAAGTATCCTAAGAGTCATGAAGGGGTCGAAGGAAGTCTTGAGAGGCGTGAAGAAACAAGGCTTGTATACCCTTGAGGATGAGGTTGTAAGTGGTTCGACAAATGTTGCATCCACGAAACTTATGTCGAAGACAGAATTATGGCACATGAGATTGGGCCATGTCAGCGAAAGAGGCCTATTCAAATTAGGGAAGCAGAACCTACTAGGAGGTGATAAAGTCGAAAAGTTGGAATTTTGTTAATCTTGTGTATTTGGTAAATCCTATAGGGCGAAGTTTAACAAAGGCAAGCAAAGAACACATGGATCCCTGGATTACATTCATGCTGATGTTTGGGGGCCTGCAAGGAATCCTTCACACTCAGGTGCAAGGTATTTTCTATCCATCGTTGATGACTATTCCAGAAAGCTATGGGTATTCATTTAGAAGGCGAAGGATGAAACTTTTGAGAATTTCAAAAGTTGGAAGATTCTGGTCGAAACTCAAACTGGCAGAAAGGTTAAGAGGTTGAGAACCGACAATGGCCTTGAATTCTGCAGCGAAGCGTTCAACAGTTAATGTGTTGAGTCTGGGATTGCAAGGCATAAGACTATAGCAGGTACTTCTCAACAAAATGGCTTAGCTGAGAGATTCAATCGAACAATCCTTGAAAGGGTTAGATGCATGTTGGTTAGTGCTGGATTGAAGAAGGTGTTTTGGGCGAAAGCTGTTTCGACAGCAGCTTACCTGATAAATAGATGTCCCTCGACTGCCTTGGGAATGAAGACACCTGAAGAAGTTTGGTCGGGACATCCACCTAGTCTCGACAAACTGAGAGTATTTGGCTGTGTGGCCTATGCTCATATTAGGCAAGACAAGGTCGAGCCTAGAGCTCTAAAATACATGTTTATGGGATACCCTAAAGGAGTCAAAGCTTATAGGCTATGGTGCCTAGAGCCAGGTCACAGGAGGTGTATCACCAGTCGAGATGTAGTTTTCAATGAAGCAGAGATGGCTTTCAAGAAAACTAATGATGCTGACGAAGAGCTGGAACAGGGAGAAATTCCTGTTGAGGTGGAGCATGTTGATGCTGAATTGCGTACCCCAGATGAAGTCGAAGAAGACGCAGAAGATGCTGTCGAAGATGAGGAGACTGATAATGACTACCTGTTAGCAAGAGACAGGTTGAGGAGAGTCATCAAGCCACCTCAGAGACTTGGGTATGCAGATCTTATAGCTTATGCCTTAATCTCTGCTAGTAAGGTTCTAGATGAAGAACCCAGAGACTATAAGGAAGTTATGAGGAGTCGAAAGAAGACTGAATGGCTGAAGGCCATGGATGATGAGATGAAATCTCTTCATGATAACAACACTTGGGAACTGATCAAGAAACCTGCTGGAGCCAGGTTTGGTATGTCAAATTCAAAGCCTGTTGTGACTCCGACAAGCCCTCAATTCAAGCTGAGTATAGATCAGTGTCCCATCACTGATGTTGAAAGAACTTATATGAATAGCATTCCATATGCTAACATAGTAGGCTCTTTGATGTATGTTATGGTCTGCACTAGACCTGACATAGCATATGCAGTAAGTCTTGTAAGCAGGTACATGGCGAATCTTGGAAAGGCTCACTGGCAAGTATTGAAGTGGATTTTAAGGTACATAAATGGGTCTCTAAATAGAGTCCTAATTTATGATGGAGCCTTGGGTGAAGATAGTAAAGCAGCAATCGAAGGATATGTCGACTCTGATTATGCAGGTTGTATGGATTCCAAAAAAATCTATCTCTGGATATGTGTTCACTATGTTTGGGACATCAATCAGTTGGAAAGCAACACTTCAGAAGGTCGTTGCCTTATCAACCACTGAAGCGGAGTATATTTCCCTAACTGAAGCTGTGAAGGAAGCATTGTGGCTTGAAGGTTTTGCAAAGGAGCTAAAACTTCAAGGTCGAGTTATCGCAGTTAAATGTGATAGTCAAAGTGCAATACACATGTCGAAGAATTTAGCCTATCATGAGCGAACCAAGCACATTAATGAGGCTGCATTTCATCAGAGGAGTAATCGAGCATGGAGAAGTCCAAGTGCTGAAGGTTTCGACAGATCATAATGTTGCTGATATGATCACCAAGACGTTGCCCAGTTGCAAGTTTTTCCACTGTATGCAGTTAATAAAGCTGCATGAAGAAAGCTAGTTTCTTGATGTTATAGAGTTAGATCCAAGGTGGAGATTTGTGAAATGTTGGATCGAACTCTAGTATTAGACGAAGTCTGTTCGCGAGGAATGCATGTTGTAGTCGAAGTTTGTTCTAACATGCATTAGTCAATATTGCTAAGGTTGTTAGCATGTTGAATTGGGTCTTGCTTGTAAGTCCAAATTGTTTAAGTTAGCTTGTACCCTAAGTTGGCTTGTAATGGGTAATTGTTAAAAAGCCCATTAGGTTAGTGTACTATTTTTCTTATAAATAGGATGCTAGTTTCTCAATCTTGGCATAAGGAAAAATAGGAAAATAAAATCCTAATTTCAAGGGAGAGAGGTTATTTTGTTATTCTTGTATACTTGTAATCTTGTTCTAAGAGAAAGGAAAGAATAACAGTTTAATAACCAATCCTTGTTGTTCCTTGTTGCTTTCTTCTTTATTAACCTTAACCCTTGTTTGTTTCTTGATAAGAAACCGTGTATACTTTGTTTAACGGTATCCTATTCATAACAAGAAGTTTGTAAAAGGGTAAGGTAAAGTGACAAGAAATTAACAAAGGAATAAAAACAAGACTGCAAAGGAAATAAATTGAAGTAAAAGACTTTGCATTTAATTGAAATGGTGTTTCAGAAATCATACATTTCGCTCAATTAAACTCGTTTCTCGTTAGGTTGGGTACTTTGAGTTTGTGAGTTTTGCATTGAACTCAACACAACGCCCTAAAATCTAACACTAGAACTCCTATTTATACTAATCTAAAAATAATTGTTTGTAACGTTCTCCTTTTTAGAATTTGCCACGTAATTTCTTGCAAGTTTCTCATCTTTGAAATGTCTTCCACGTGTCCTTTTGGATAAGACTAAAAAATAGTTATTTGTTTTGAAAATATTTCTGCTTGTCGACTTGTCTTGCTAACGTCGAAATCTTGAACCAAGTTGTCGTCAAAATGATGGACGAAATTCCTTTTCAAGAAAAATACTAAGTCTTAATCTTTATTCTGCACTTGAAACTTCAACTTCCTCAACTAGCAAATTTGTGTTGAAATGCCCTTTTAGACTTTCAACTTGCCTAAGTTCTTTAATTTGACCTTTTCAAAAATCCCAGCTAAAAGGTTCCTCAATGTTGTTGTTATTGTCGACGTCTTGTGTGGAAATATCGTTTGATTTCGTTTATTGGTTCAGTGAAATTTTCAAGACTTCGAGTTCTTTGCATTCAACCTATAACGAGAAAATTAAAAGCAAACACAAAATATAAAATGTTGTCTTAGTCTAGATGGTGGAATAACAGAATTAAAATCAAAATGGTCCATAAAAGCGACGTCAAAAACTTGACAGACTGCAACCTTACATAAGCATAATCAACAATGGATTAAATACAAAACAAGCAAATAATAAAATCCAGATTGAGGAATGAAATACAATAGAGTGTGTACTTAAGCAGAGACTTCTACAAGAATTTGAAAATGCAAAAAAAATAAACTAATATAAGAAAGGCGTAAAATGTAAAGTGTGGCGAGCGAGTCCTTTAATCTAAGTTCTATAAGGTATTAGATATGTTTATGACCATTAAAATAATATTAATTAACCTTAACCACGAAGAAAAACGTCTAAGAAGTGTATGGGTTGCAAAAACAAATGTCAAACTCTTAAAATTCTCGTATGGCATGTGGAGAATTACGCCCATAAGAAATATTACAGCTTGACCGTAAGAAATATTACGTGAATAATTTTCATTACTCCCTTGCCATAGTTCTTGTTGTCCCGACCTAAAACTCGATTCTTTATTGAATAAACATTATGGTCGGAATAATTTTCTGATTTTTCATCTATGTTTTGTACTTTTGATTCCTTTAACTTTACATATTACTAATATTTGCCTAAAAACCATTGTTTTTCTAAAACACCAAACAAATCAAAGTAAATAATGCAAAATAAATAAATAAATTTGTAAAAGACAAACACCAAAATTAACATTAAACATGATTAAAAACAAACTTATCAACAAAGTTTTGTATAAAATGAAATTTTTTAAAAATTTAAGACTTAAATATGTTAATAAGTTTAATGAAAAAGTTATGTAGATACAAAGTATATCTAAGGAAATAGATAAGAACATCTTTAAAATTTAAGATAGGATAAGATAAGGTTATAAAAGAAATTATGCAGATCTAAAATATATATAAAGAAACGAATATTAAAATTTTACTATTAATATAAAAATAGAATGATTTCATTTCACACAAACGAATCTTTCAAAAATAAATATAGTAATATTTTAAAAATTCTATAAATAAACGAGTAAAAAAAATGTCAAACAATTTTAAAAACACAATGGTATTTTTAATAACCAATAATTATAGAGACAAATATAGTAAATTCTAAGAAGCGCAAGGGCAACACAGTAACATCAACTTTAAATTATCCTCTTGTTCTCGTTTTTTTCTCATTTTTCTTTCTGCACTTTGCATTACCCGTTTCACCAAATAACAGTTTCTCGAACTTTTTTCAATTTTCAATATCCTTAAAAAGTGAGAGAAAAATAAATAATCTCAAATCACGTATCATTTCAATTCTCAAATCGAATCGAAAAATTAGGGTTAGGTTTTTCATTTTCTTCCCCAAAAAAAGAAACGCGTCGAAAAAACGAGAACAAGAATCAATCCTTTATGATTCTTTCTTCAATCGGAAAGGTAAATTTGATCGGTGTGTTAATCTTTTTGTTGTCGTTGTTGTTGTTGGTGGTGGTTCAATCCTCTGCGGCGGCGTTAAACGGTAACACCATGAAGATTCACCCTGCTCCGAGAAAGCGCAACATCACAATCCAATTCGGAACCAACGGGAGCAACCCCGCGTCGGAGGCTCAGGCTTTGTTGGGAATCTCCGGGAAGAAATTACGGCGTCTCCCACACGTTTTCAGCCGCGTATTGGAACTTCCGTTTCGGTCGGATGCTGACGTGGCGATTGAAGAGGCGCCTGATTGTTTCCGGTTTGTGGTTGAGACGGAGGGAATCGGTGAGGTGAGGACTCACACGGTGGAGATCCATCCCGGCGTGACGAAGATCGTTGTGAGAGATGGGGAGTCCTTGGAGTTGTCGCTTGATCAGTTGGAGCTTGATATGTGGAGGTTTCGTTTGCCGGATTCGACTTTGCCGGAGCTTGCTAGTGCGGTGTTTGTTGATGGGGAGTTGATTGTTACGGTGCCGAAGGGGCATGATCTGCAGAATGTTGAAGGTGGTGATAATGATAGAGGTATGGGTGGTAGACTTGTGCTTGTACAGTGATTATGATTGTGATGATGATGATGGTGGAAATTCTTTTGTTTAACACCTTTAAAATGTTACTTTAGTATATGTGGGTTAGATTTGAGGTTGTTGCTGTTGTTGGGTGTAGCTGATTTCTTTTGTATGTGAATTTGATTGTTGCTTCAACATAAATGTTCTTTCTTCAATAATGTTCTACATTTATGGCAATGTCAATTTTCACAATTAGTTTTTTTTCCCTTGTTTTCATATTGCAGGGTTTATTTTCTTTTTCGTTCAATTTGTGCTTTTGGTGTATGATTATCAATTTACTATTAGTATATATCTGCTTTATAGGAATTGGGTGCTTTTTTGCATGATGCTTTTGAAGTTTGATGATACTTTATTTGAGTATTATGATGATACTTTATCTGTTTAAATCAAAGTAAAGTGATTATGACCTAACTTTTGGCGAATCTGAAATGTATCCTCAAGTTTAGAAAAATGTTATGATTTTATATTTCATGGAGGAAGGGATAAAGGTTTCAATATGATAATGTACATGGACATGTATAATTGATCATGTCATGTGTGTGAAAAGGTTTCTAATCCCCACCCCTTTCACTCTACTCATGGATATTTGAGGACTTTGTACTTTCATGGAAAAGATGAGTGATATAATCTAAACTATGTTTATTTTTTTCCTGTAAAGGCTTATGATCAGTTCTACTGCTTTTTCAATCTTCATAAAGTTTAGTTTTTTTAAGTGCAAAATTATTTAACTACTGCTGCTACTTTCTTTAGATTTGATAAATTGGAATGTTAGCACCTTTTAGAAACTAGAATCACCATTCCTCAACAACTAATTAAGTTCAAAGTTTTAACTCATATTTTATCTAGATTAGTATTTTCTAGGAATGAAAATGGGTCATTTGAAAGTATGTGTGCTAAAATTTACTGCCATTTTAATATTTACTAGTCTTAGCCCCACATGCATATAAAACTACATGCATTTAAATGGCTTGGTTCATGTTTTGGATATCAATTTTTCTGTTGTCTTTATCAGTTTTTTCTGTCTTGATATTTATTGAGAAACCTGGTCAGATTCACCCATCTCTTGCTTAATGGAAACATGAAATAACTATATTGGTATGCATAAGAAGTGTCTACTTAAACTCATTTAGTTCTTCTCCATAGAAAAGTTGGTCCTGTATTTGACTATTTTAAAGAAACATGTTTGGAAATGATCCTCAAAAAAGCTTGGAATTATTTGAACAATGGCACAGTGACTGTTATTTAATGATGACACTTTTACATCTTTATAGTTAAAGCATAAAGATATAAAAAAAGGAGTGCTTTTATACTTTTATTAGTATTTTATATCATTACCCCTTTTCTCATTTGAGTTCCATCTTAACCTGTGAGGCGTATATGAAACAGATTGAACAATGAAACTTCTGAATTCCGCATCCTCTAAATCAAAGATGGAATAACTTGTGTCATCAACATAAATAATTGATAATTTAGTAAATAATAATTTACAAACCACAAATAACTATACCATTAATTTTTAGTAATATATTAGTTGGTACTCTTTATTTTCCAAGTAGTTTCTCTTCTTCCTCTCCTTAAGTTTAATAGTCCTAATTTTCATATTTGCATTATAAAACTTCCTAACAGCCATGGGAGCACTTCGATCATTCCCAACTCATAGGTGTTCAACTATTTATAAACACATACTACTTCGAAATTTCAATTTGAAAGACCAATGATTTGTTCTAAGGAAAATGTAACACTGGAAGGAATAGATTTGTGTTGTAATAGTTTCCTGACGGATTATTTAAGGTAAAATAGGTCAATTCCTTCAATATCTGAGTGTATTGTTAAGGCAAAATTACACATGTGATCGTTTACAAATGTTTGTGTTGATTATTCATTAAAACCATTTAATGATTCAGTGTTTCCGGTGAGTCATTTGGAACTAAAATGATGGTACGAATCTTTTGAAAAGTGATGTGGAAAATAACTTGGGGTTCCTGTTCCTTCCCCGCGTGTGAATTATAGCAATCAGTCGCAAAAATCTAGAGTTTTATGGTTGAAGGAGGGAGATATCAATTTTGAGTAGTTCCATGTTGTGTATTTTTGTAAATAGAGTTATAGTTTAAGGTGTTATTGAAGTCTTGGTGGTGTTTTCAATCATTTTGAATATCAATATGAATCAATAATTTTTTAACTTATATGTTTTTAGAAATTCTAAAAATGTCTTATAATTTTATAGATGCATTTTTGGATGCATTTCCAACACACATTAAAAAAAATGTCATTATGAATTGTGCCATATTATTTGGTTTATATTTTTCGGAGGTATATTTTCGAAAAAATTCTGTAGTTACATTTTCGTAACAAGGTACATATCAGTAGCAGAACCAAAAACATCTAATTTTCCAAAATAAAATTAAGATTCATAAAATAAAATTATGATTACATAGATCATTTAAACATAAAATGCAACATTACTTCAATATTCAGGTGGACGCTTCAACATGTTCGACCGATCTTGAAATCGTCGCTTCCTACTCAAGCAGAATTTTTGTTTCAAAAGAGAAATACGTATTCCACATAGCCCTTACATCTGCTTGCGTCTTAAGCTCAAATTTGTTGAACTCAATCTTTCTCCCATTGTTAATCAATGGTGAACGGTATTCAAGCTTCACAATCCTTCAATTGTCTCCGTAAGATAGGAGATGGTGAATTTCGTCTTTAATATTTTTGGGGGAGGTGAAATCGGTGAGCTTAAACGTTCGTTCGAGTGTAGAGTTGGAGAATGAGACATTTGCAACATATTAGTCGATGTTAATTTGTGACATTTGAGACATTTTTAGTTTGTGTGAAATATGAAATAAAAATACCTTAATTTATAGAAGGTATTGATCAATATGGACCACTCAATAACTGACATGCTGATTCTGAAAATATATCTCTAATTTCTCACCCTATTATCTTGTTCTGAAGATGCATCTCTGGAACTTCTCCTGAACCAGTTCCAAAAAAGAACCTTTAAAACAAGCCTTACTTTTTTTTTATTTACAAAAACACAAATTTTGTTATGGGGAAGATAAAAAATACATTAAGACACAATATGAACAAATGTTAAATATATTATACTTCATTTATATTGAGACACAATTATATACATTTATTTGTTCAGATAAATGAAAAATTAAAACGAATCGAAACATTTGTTGCCGGCTAATTCTATAGGTGGTACTCCCTTGGACTTTTGTGCATTTGATTCTTTTTCAATGTTGTTAAATTTCTCAAATTCTTGCATCCTTTTTATAAAATAATCTGGTCAAGTCTCGACTTTTGTGATTGAATGAACCGTTCACTCTAGTGATATAGGGCATCCTAATTTCAAGTAAATTTGAACAAAATGACTTGATTTTGAAATCCATCTAATACACATGATACGATCATTTGGATTTTGAGGTGGACGATGCATAGTGGAAAAAAGGTTTATGAAAAACCGTATTGTGTCAGATTAACACACATTATGTCATACTCACACGTTATTAGGTGACCCATTTCAGGGAAGCACATTCATTTTACTTCTAGTGCTGGACCACTAAGGCAAGGAACAAGAGATTACAGTGTCAAACACTAAGAGCAACTGTCTTAGTCTTCTCAAGAACTACTGACCACAACTTGGTCTTCTCAAAGAACCTTTACAAATAAATGTAAACTAAACAAGTGTTTAAGTTGCTTCTAAAAAGCTATATCACAAACTGTGATTTTTACACTTAAGATTAAGAACAAATAAAACTATTCAGCTTTGAATAAGAATGACTGTATGAGAGTTGTTGAATAATTTGTTCAAGACTTGTTGGCAATTCGTTAACCATGAAGAGATATTGAAGACGTTTTTTTATAGTGCTGAAATTCCAATGCTTGAAAACTGTGCAAGTAGAGTAGCTGTAGCCTTTTGTCTTCAGATGACTTTTCCTTTCTCACAAGTAGAATGTTCAAAGATAAGCCTTTTGCCTGAATCCTTGTGTCTATCACAAATAAGGAATAGTTCCGTTGGAGAGGACGTTGAGAATAGTACCAAGTCTATTCACGTGCTGACATCTTTTCAAACGTAAACAACATCAGATCCTCTGATGTGCTTCTTGTTCTTCAGATCAGATTCAATGAAATCAGAGTTGCAGCAATAGTGCTTTAGCGTGAGTGATCTGATCAGAGCATACTTGTTTATCAGAGCCAGCGTAAAGTACATTCAGAGTCTTCTGAAACAATGCTTTAAACTCTTCATACAAAATTTTCAGCTACGCTTTAGATGCTTCTGCAGCCTCTGCTTCAGAGTCTTCTGCAGCTTCTGCTTCAGAGTCTCTTCTGGCAGCACTCAGAGTCTTCTGATGGCTTGCTTCTGATGCTTCAGAGCTTTGTGTAACTTGGTGTTCAGATGCATTTTGCTTCCATAATGATATTTATTTTAATATCTGAAACACAAAACACTTGAACAAAATTAGAGTATATATTTTCTAAATACAAAATTCCATTAGAGTTATCATCAAAACATAGAGATATAATTAAACACCAATTTGTGTTCTAATAATCTCCCCCTTTTCGATGATGACAAAACATAGGAAATTTTGTTCAATAAAAAGGATAAATATATAACTCCCCCTGAGATAAAGAATCTCCCCCTGAAATAAAGAATCTCCCCCTGAAATGAATACTCTAATAGAAGAAAATACTTCCCTTTTTGCATGAGTATACTATTCAGATTAAGAGTCTAGTTGAAAAACTTCTGGTTAAAATCCTGGTTAGAATATACTTTCCAGAATCAGAGCTTGATTTTTCTTTCAGAATTAGAGCCTGGTAATAACTTGATTTCCTTTCCAGAAACAGAGCCTGATTTACTCTTACTGATTTTCTTTCCAAGAACCAGAGCCTGATTTATTTTCCATAATCAGAGCCTGGTTAACTTCTAAGATCAGAGCCTGGTAAACAGAAGTTGGTTTGAATTATCAGAGCCTGGT